CACTTCTTCTGCTACCTCGTCCTTCATCATTACTCTGACGCAATTATGTCGTTTGACATGAGGTGGTGTCAGACTCACCCCTGCCCCGCTTCGCCATTTCCCGTCTCGTTCCCGGGGCCTCCCAGCTCCCACCGGTCCAGCGTCCACTGTCGCGTTCTCCCTCCGGGCCTCCCCCTTGCCCCAGGGTTGCTGGCGTCTCTCTGGCTTCGTTCCCCACCCTCCAGCTCGGGGGCACCCGCATCTCTGCGTCCGGACGCCGTACCTTTTTCTCCTCGGCCTCCCTCACCCACTCCATCAGCTCCCGCCCTCCCATCCAGTTCCTCCATCCTCTCCTTCTGCCGTGCCTCCGCCACGTTCCCCTCCATCCGTCTCCATGCCTCCTCCACGCATCCCCCTGCTGCCAGCGGGTCGGTCTGGTTGCCCCAGTCCCCTCCGGCAGCGTAGGTGGTGTCGGTGGCCCTCTGCTTTCGCCGCGTCTTCTTCTTATCTCCTGCAGTCACCGTCTGGCCGACTCTGTCGTCCCAGGCTCCCTCAGCAGTGCAGGTGGCATTCATTTCTCTTGACGCACTCCCTGCTTCCTTTTCATCTGCTGCGAGCATAAGCTGGGCGGCTCGGTCATCCCGGTCTCCTTCAGCAACTCGGGTGGCCCTCGTGGTCCTTGACTCTTGCCGTTTCCCCTCTTCGTCTGTTGCGATTTCCGTCTCCATTCTCCAGCAGTCCCCGCTTCTTGGCAGCGTGGTCATCCCTGGCCACACGGTCAGGGCCCTCGCAGGCCTCGGGGCTGGTGGCTAGGTCTCACTTGAGATCCGGACGGGCTGGAAGGATCACCTCGATGCTCCTGGTGTCTCCCCTGGCAAGCCAGGGCAGTTTCCCCCTCATCGGGCAATTCGCCAGAATGGTGAGGCTCTGCTGTGTCTCCCGTTCTTATATAGAGCAGCAGCAGAGTGACGTCATCATTAACTCATTAACTCATCAGGTGCAAAGATTCAAGGGGGGATCGATTGTAAATATATACTAGATTAGTAATCAGGCTATTCATAATCAACGTTTTTGGGTTTAGATCGCGTTATTTATAAATGTGTCGTAACCCTCCACCACCCGACACGGCCAATCAGTAAAAAAGTGTCACGTTGACAAAAGACAAATAGTTCACTGCTTTAGCCCACCGGTGTGTTGAAGCGTGAAACCACAACATTTACAATTTGAGTACGACGTTTCGCTGGTAATTGCATCCAGCATCATCGGGCAATTCGCCAGAATGGTGAGGCTCTGCTGTGTCTCCCGTTCTTATATAGAGCAGCAGCAGAGTGACGTCATCATTAACTCATTAACTCATCAGGTGCAAAGATTCAAGGGGGGATCGATTGTAAATATATACTAGATTAGTAATCAGTCTATTCATAATCAACGTTTTTGGGTTTAGATCGTGACACTTTTATACTGATTGGCCGTGTCGGGTGGTGGAGGGTTACGACACATTTATAAATAACGCAATCTAAACCCAAAAACGTTGATTATGAATAATATTGGTCGCGAAAGCCTACGTGTTAATCAGGCTATTGTTACGATGCGAGTTGTAGATTAGTAATCATTTGGAATGTGTTTTATTGTGATTATGCTACATTAGTAATCAGTTAGTGTTTGTTTCCCTTATAAGGAATTGTAATGTATCTTATTTAATAATACGCTTCCAGGCCGCACTAAGCCTGTAGCTGTCTGAGCGATTAAAGTTATTTCTGTTTCTCTCAATTTCAATCTGCACTTACGAACCTGGTTCCATCAAATATATATTTTATAACATTGACTTTAAACGCGAACTCGCACTTGAAAATTGAACCGCGTCGCTATTTTGTTCAGTGGAGCGATTCTCCGCGACATGTAATGACTCAGGATCGCGCTTGGAGCAAGTGTTTGTCTATGTGAGTGTGTGTGTGTGTGCACGCGCACGTGTCCATGTGTATGAAAGTGAATGTGTGGGGAGCGGTAGTGTAGCAATTAGCCTTCGAAAGCGGCGATCCGAGTTCGATTCCCGTTCATGGCCAACACCAGTGATGATTATGTGAACCGGTCCTGGGCGTCCCCGAGATCGACCCAGCCTCAAATGAGTACCTGGTGCGATGTGTAAACATCACCACTGGAGAGACAAAGGCCGCGAGGCATGGTGCTGGCCAATCACCCCCTTGTGTGCTATGCCGGCCTTCATAGGTGCTGCTGACTAACAGTGCTTTCCCCAACAGTTTATTAAGGCTATACGGGGAGTCTTTGTCTGTGCAACGTGCGAATGCTGTGTACTCACCTCCGCCTCGCTCTGCTGGCGCAGCATGTCCAAATGCTGCAGCTGTGAGTGTGTGTTTTCGTGGTACTGCTCCAGCTCTGTGTGCAGCTCGGCCAGCACACGCTGATACCAAAGAATCCCCACCTGCAGGGATCCCAGCTGCTGGCTCCTCTCGAAGAGCTGCTTGGGCCATGGGCAGAGGGACAGAGAAAAGCATTTGACGACTGTGTGCAGTTATTGTAGAACATACAGATGCAACAACAGACACATAGAACCAGATTCTTTATTCATATTGGAGGAGTCTGGTGAGCTCTAAAAGATATTTTTCACAGATGTCCATACACCATGTTTGACCAAATCACCCGGGATGCACCCAATCTTGTCGGACCATCATGCACACAACCCATGATTACGCCTATAAAAGCCCACATATATGGAATAAGTAACCCAAAATCTGAATTAAAAGGTCAGATTAAAATCGCTTCCCAAACCAGGACAGGGAGGGTATGGACATGCACGTAGCAGAGGGGAGCAGATAGTCAGACCCTACACAGCCTGACGACTCAAGTGCTGTGTCACGGTCAGACCTTGGCCGGGTTCCCAGCGGCCGTGGGAAAGAGGCTGGGAGCATTACCTGACGTATGGTGTCCTCATTGCCAGCTTGGGACGCGGTCAGCTGATCCTGCAGCGCCGACAGTCTCTGTTGGGGGGTGGAGAGCTCCGGCTGGGCACTGGCACGCTGCGCCTCACTCGCTGCGAGCTCCTCCTCGCTCGCCTTGAGCTCCTCCCTCAGCCGGATGATTGTGTCCTCGACCTCCTGAGCCTTAATACAGACAATGTTCGTTTTACCATCGCAATCATCAGCATCATCATAATGAGCAGCCATGATCCGTCCACCGCTGAATGTGTTTTTGTGATACTGCTGAATGAAAGTTTCCCTGAGCCATACCGGTCATTTTAATTAATTGATCATACTTCATTACACTGGTCAGCACGAGGTGGAACACCCAAGACCGGTTCAGATATCACTGGCCACCAATGCTAGCCATGGTTGGTAATCAAACTCGGACAGCTTGGTTCAGAGTGCAGAAGGCTAAATTAATACGTTGTATATAATCATAAATATTTCAGTTTTTTCTGTATCTGTTTGTATATATCTTCCCCTGGTTTTAAATGCCGTATGTTCTCCCTGTTGTAATCTGTTACATCGTGTGGTCTGTTTTAGTCACTTAACTCCCTGTATTGCTTTTGTTGGGGCCGCTGGTCCCCGAAGTCCCTCCCTGCTCCTCCATGCCTATGGCAGGGGCTCCGCCGTTCGCCGACCCCTCGCTACTCTGTGAGCAGCTGCTGCCGTCGCTGGGCTCATCGCCCGACGGCTCCCCTCCCTGGTCCGTCCCTCCGCGAGCTCGTGTGAGAGGCATAGCTCGCCGCACGCTCTCGTTCACCTGTAAATGCTGCGTTGTCTCTCCATAAATCACGCGCTCTAAACGGGGGTCAGGGGTCGGAGGGTGAACGACGCTGCCCTCACACCGCGCGAGTCCCTGCGGCGATAGACGGAACTGGTACCTGTGGACGCACCGACCCCTTCCCCCACGCTACGAGCGCACACACCTGCACACACGCGACACCCACTCTCGCGCCGCTCTGCGCAGCGCTCCCACGAGGCGAGCAGCTGTATACGCAGCACCACACGCGTTCACACTGCTCAACGAGATCACATGAGGCCGCGATTCGCTATTAATGATTTATTGTTTGCTACCTGGAACTGGTTGTTGAGTCAGTATGAATCGACGAGGCTGGCCTATTCCACTACCCCTGTACCTATTCCCTATTTATCGGCTATGATCCTACTTCACCTCCTTACTCACTGTTAGGTGCCCACGGCGGTCCGTTGATCCCGTACTCGCAGCGTACCTCGATGCGTCTCACGGACGTTCGGGTCGCTGGACTGGAGAGCGTCTTGTCACCTGGCGCTGGAGTGAGAGAGCGATTTCCCCTTTGCGCCCCCTTTTTATCCTCCCTACATCAAAGGGATGCGGCTCCGAGTGTGATGGCGGCCCTCTCCCAGTTTTTCTTTAACAATGAACGCGCGCCCGCTAGCACGCGCACGGCGGTTCCGGGCGCCTTTGATATGCTAATCGGATGTGCTGCGTGTGCGGCGCCAATTCCAATTAATCCCCTTCTCATGCATGGCGCCGTGCTCCTGCGCACCATGCAGCGGCGTCCATCACCACGGCCCACTGCGGAAGTTAAGCGCGGAGCCTCCGCATGTCCTCACCACCTGCCCCATCAATTGCGCACCCTAAACTATGCCGCCTCGTCTCTCCTCTGCCTGTCTCGTCGACCCATGGGGGGTGTGTGTGGGGGGATGATGCGTTTCAACCGCGGTGGCCGAATGCCCTTCGCCGCGACCATACCATCTTAAGGCCGGTCGCAGCGCCGCGGTGCAAAGTAGCGTCGGGGGAGGTCGTCCAATTCCCTGGTCGCCGGAAACCGTGAAAGTCAATCCCGATAAGGGCTTCTCGGATAAAAACCGGTCGATCAGGTGACCTCCCCTTCCAGCTCTATGGGGGGGGGGGGGGGGGGAATGCGTGCGGGTGTGTTCGTGTGAGGTGAGGTGAGGGGGACGAGGGGTTGGCTCCGTCGCTTGGTGGTGGCGAGGTCGGGGATGGGGCGCCTGCCGAACGGCTTTGTGGCGGCGGCATCACACTTTGTGCGTGGCTTTGTTCATGCTGCACTGTGTACTATTATTTTGACCGAGCAATGGCCCTTCTGGTCTCAGTGAGTTTTTATTCCTTTCATGTTCCATGATCACGTTGTTGTTGATCAAAGCACACATTGAATAATTGGTGGGGTGACAAATTTATCCCGGGCCAAATTGTCATTGGCACATTTCATTATTGGTAAATGAGGCACAACAGCCGCACGCTGCCTCAACTCAAACTTTAATTATCTTTATTTTACCAGCTAAGGCCTACTGAACTATATAGCTCTTTTTGAGAAGTGACCTGCCCACAAATGAAAGTTCTACGAAGTGGCTTATCATGTGGAAATGTATTGCAGCCAAATAATCTAAACGCAAGTTTCTAAATGTGGATGGGAAAACCGGAGGACCCGGAAGAAAATCCACGCGACCACAGGGAGAACATGCAAACTCCAAATATACAGGTGTCGGGGTTGGGATGAAACTCACAACCTCCTGCATACAGGCGAGGTAGTTAACATCTCGCCACCGTGGCGCCCCTCTTCAGTGCCAATCGTGGCTTCACCACGCGTGCCTTTGCGAGTCGGTACCTTCTTGGAGTTGCGCTCGAACTGCTTGAAAGCATCGGCGAGGGTGAGCCGGACCTCCTCCAGCCCCGTCGCCAGCTCGCAGGCCTCTTTCCGATGCGTGTCCTGCTGCTGCGCTTTCTCCGACCCAAGTGTCTGGACGTGCCCCTCCAACTCCTTCAGCTGCGCACACGCACACATTCCACAATGCTGGATCCATGTCTGGAGAAGTATACTAAATGTGGTGTGCAGAATATGGAAATATTTTCTGGGTTGGAGAAGACCCAGCTGTAATTAAGCCCAGCTTGCAAACAAATAAATAATTGCAACTTAAGTCATTTACACTCTGGTGTGCATAGAGCTATCTGTCTGCAAGCCTATATTGTTTGTCTAACAAATGCAAGCCAATGACATTTTAGAAAAAGTCCTGTAAACTGCAGCTGACTGTATAATTCAATTGTATTTATTCTAAATGGAAGTATAAAATTTTAAGCAAATGCATTCGCAACTTTGAATCATGACAAATTATGAGATGGGTGAATTAGTTACAGGCCTAGTCAGGGCTTGCCTTGTCTCATCAAGTGTAATTACCTAATCACCATTCACCTATCTGCAGATAAAATTAAGAGGCATGCTGAGAGCACCGATCCTGTGGTCACAATTATACCTTTTGCCATATAGAAATGCATTATCATACTACATTATAAAAAAAAAACATTCTGGCTGTCTGCCTTCCTGGCTGCATCCATATTACTTAAATAACCACTTCAGGTTCCAGCCACCTGTGATTAAGCCAGGTTCACATGTGCAGTGAGTTAATGATCTCAGCCTGATCATCAATGACTTCACAGAAAAGCCCATGAAAACAATGTTGGCTTTGCACTAAATCGAGCTAAGTTCCAGCTCTGAAAACCAAAGATCTGACTGTTTTGTGATAAACATTACTCATTACTCTCCATAGCAGGGCAGATATCAAAGTATTTCCTCCTATTGTATGTGGACCAGAGGGCACTTAAAGATTTCTCAGAAGTAGTTATGTGATGTATGCTTCTGCGGACCATTCTCTAACATGCGATGGTGCACTGCTCAGAGGATGAGGACAGACCTCATGCACACACATGGAGGTGGGGGGGCTGCAGCTTAAGGTTCTGGTTACCTGGTGCTGCAGCCTGGCGATCTGGCCGTGCATGTGTAATAACGTTCAGGAAGCCTTGGACGCCGGGGTTGGAGGCACACTTATTTATTCCACATAAGGTACAATACAGACCGGGACATACAACACTGGAAGGGGTGTCGGTCCCTTCACCCGTCTAACTGGGGAGACACACTGTAGGCTAACCCTAGCCTACCTCTCGGTCCTCCACTATCGGGCTAGGGGAGGCTAGCTAGCCCAGCACTGGCCAACTGGGCTTATGGCGCCCGGAGTCCCCAGACCAGCTCTGACAAGAGCACCGGCTCTCGGGGCCACGCCACTGGCTCGGTCCTGGTAGGCCCTGACAAGGGCGGCGATCCAGGGGAGTCCAGGGCTCTATCTAGCAGATCTTCCTTCTTCACTGGTTAAGCTTCATACATTCTGCCACGAGCCCTCCGGCTCACCTCTTTATATACCAACTCCCCCGCTGAGGGGTGGGGCCCCGGGGGATCCCAGCTCCGAGTCAGCCCCCCAGGCTGCCCGTTGCGGATGTCGCTGTGAGCACCCCCCTGTGCACAGACATAGTCACGCCCACTGTGTTTGTTTACCGTCTGATACCATTGTATAACAGCCCCTCCGTAACACCCCTACATCACCCCCCCCCCCCCCTGTACAGCTCGCAGCCGTCCCGGCTGCAACAAGATAACAATAAAGATGTATCCCCCCCTTGAACCTGTGTGTGCCTCACAAATTTCGAACAACAATAACAACAACAAGAACAATAACAACAGTAAAGAGAAAATAACCCGACGCACCCCCCCCCCCCGAATAAATAGTGAATCCCGTAAAAAAACGACATATATACAATTTCCAGTAAAAAAACAACACATACAAATCTCAGAAACCAACATATATACATTTTTCAGGATCTCACAAAAGTCTGCGCATTTTTGCGCGCGTTCTTGCAGCAGGCCCGTCACACGGGTCAACCCCGGTTGGTGCAATGGTAGGTGTCAACAATCCGGTGTCGAGGGAGTCATTCTTTGCTGCTGAGTGACCCCCGACATCCCCCGGAGGGGTTGGCGGGCGTGAGCCCGTCACTCCTGGTGCACCTGGAGACGGAACAGTTAGCGGCACGTTAGGGGAGAGCAGCGAAGTCGGAGCCCGGGAGTCGGCGGATCCCTCACATGTTTGGCCACGCGTGTGTGAAGTGGGAACACGGACCGCAACGAACGGTTTCAATCTGGAGGGGTGTACGAACCACCAACGCTTCCCCCATTTGATACGCACACACTGTGGCCACAAAACCTGCACTACTTCCACAGGACCCCGCCACGGCCGCACCAGCTTAGAGGAGGTTGCCAGTGGTACTTGGGGACAGTGCAACCACGCCCTGTCACCTGGTTTCCACTGAAACACATGCGCCCGACCCAGCCGGAGTCTCTCATTAGCCTTCTGGCGGAGATCCGAATTCTGCATAGCTGCCTCCCGTGCCTCCGTCAATTTAACGATATTTAACATGTTCGGCCAATTTAGATTTACCCCGCGGCATGGAGACCTGCAGCTGGGTCGGAACAGGTGGGTTAAGGCTCGCGGCCGTACATTAGGAAGAAGGGCGAAAATCCCGTTGCCGCATGGGGAGCCATTCTGTATGCCGCCAACACCCCCTGAATCTGAAGGTCCCAATCGGTCTGTGAGTCAGAGACCTGTTGGGACAGCATGGACGTGATAGTCCGATGCAGACGCTCCACCATCCCGTCAGTTTGCGGATGATATTGGGAGGTACGAACTTTTTTCGTTCCCAGGAGCTCGCAGACTTCGTGGAGAAGTTTACCCGAAATTTTTTTACCTTGGTCGGTCAGCAGCCGCTCCGGAGCACCTTTGTCAAGGACGTATCCCTGGACAAAGGTCTCCGCGATGGCTGCTGCTGACTGGTTGGCGAGGGGCCAGGCCATAGGCCAGCGTGTAAAATATTCTACCCCGGTCAATAGGTATCTATTTCCCCTGGGCGTAGCGGGGAATGGGCCTAGAATATCAAGCGCAACAAGCTCGTTCACCCTGGAAACTTTGATAGATTGCAATGGCGGGTTAGACACCCGCGCTGGTGGTTTCCGTTGCGCGCACTGAGGACATGACCCTAACAGCTCCCCGACATCCCTTGTCATGCCCGGACAAGAAAAATCCAGCTGCAGCATGGCAAGGGTCTTTTGAGTTCCCAGGTGGAGGAGACGCTCATGCGCAGCCCACACCACTCTACCCCTCAAAACAGAAGGCACCACCAGCCGGTGTCGGCGGGATCTCCCGTCCCAATGCATCAACAGACCCTGAACCAACCCCCACGAGTCGACATTCCCCCCCTCCCAACCAGCACCCCCGATGCGACGGCGCAAAGCGAGGAGGGAGGTGTCCTCCATCTGGAGGCGCCCCCATTCAGCAACAGGCAACCCCAGCAAGGAATCCGTCACCTGTTGTTCAATCAGACCCGTCATTAAAGGCGCGCCAGCGGCAGCCGCCAAAACCGGATCAGATACCTCATTCGGAGGCTTGCAACGCCCCGAACCAAGGAGGTACGCGCATTCGGAGGAGGTTGGCAGCCATGACAGGGCGTCTGCATTCGTGTGGCGAACGCCCTTATGATACGTAGTTTCAAAATCGAAGTCCTGGAGAATCTCCAACCAGCGAGACAATTGCCCCGATGGCTGTTGAACTCGCAGGGTGTACTGTAGTGCCGCATGATCTGTTCGGATGGTATGACGACCGTACAGATATGGGCGATACTGTTGAATGAAGTTAACAATTGCCAATAGTTCCCGACGGGTGACACAGTATCTTTGTTCCGCCGGAGACAACACCCGACTGCCGTATGCTACCACCCGTTCCACGCCGTCAACCACCTGCGAAAGCACGCCCCCAATTCCCGTGTTGCTCGCGTCCGTATCGAGCAAAAAGGGTTTAGTAAAGTCAGGATAAATCAATGGCGGAGCTCTCACCAGAGCGTCCCGGAGGGATCGAAAAGCAGCCTCCTCTTCCTGGCCCCAGTGAAATCTGACCACCTTTGCTGTTAAAGCATGTAAGGACTTTGCAATCGTCGCAAAATCAGCGACAAATCGTCGGTAGTATGATGCGAATCCGACAAAACTCCTGACCTCTCCCACAGAGGTGGGAGTCGGCCAGGAGCTGACACATTGCGTTTTGGCGGGATCGCTAGCAATACCTGAGCGTCCCACGATATGCCCCAAATACCGCACTGATTCGCGTAACAAATGACATTTCTGGGGTTTGAATTTCAAATTAGCAGCCCGCATTTTGAGAAAAACCGCCCGCAACCTCTGGAGGTGTTCGTCGAATGTTTTACTGAAAACGATGACGTCGTCCAAATAAATCAAACACGAATCCCATTGTAACCCAGCCAAGACCAATTCCATCAATCGCTGGAAAGTCGCCGGCGCTGAGTGGAGCTCCATCGGCAACCGGTTGAATTGAAAAAGGCCGTGCGGTGTACAAAAAGCAGTTTTAGGTTTTGAATCGTCATCCAGAGGGAGTTGCCAGAATCCCGAAAGCAAATCCAATGTGGAGAAGAATCGCGCCCCCGCCAAGGCTTCAAGCAATTCATCCATCCGAGGAAGCGGGTATGCGTCGGCAACAAAAATTTTGTTCAGTCGACGAAAATTGACGCAAAAACGTAATGAGCCGTCATGTTTTTTAACTAAGACAATCGGCGCACCCCAAAGGCTGGTAGAAGGAGAAATGATATCGGCGGCTAACATGTCAACGGCCGATTTGACATGGTCTTTTTCGGCGGGACTTAACCGAAAAGGATTTTGGCGTATTGGCGCGCTGTCACCCGTGTCAATATGGTGTCGCAGCAAATTAGTACAGCCCAGATCATATTTGTTTTGACTAAAAATGTCGGAAAACTCGCGCAGAAGGATTCTAAGCTTTTCACGCTGTGAGTCGGACAGGTCCGACGATCCCGCACAAAGCGCATCGAGCCACCCTTCATTACTGTCCGTATGTGGTCACGGTGGAGGAGCAGTGGTTACGTGATTTATGACGGGTTCCTCACAGGACACCGGCGTTGCGTGCGCAAGCACGGTCCCTTGAGTAACCACCGCCGTACGCGACCCCACATTGAGGACCGCGATGAAAGGGTCCCCGTCCCCTCTTACGATGGTCTGGGCCGGTATTAAATCAGGTCCGCTAACCCCGACCCTAGATGGTCCTAGCAGAACCCCCTGGTCCCCAATCCCCTTAGCAAATGGTCGACGTAGCCTAAGAGGCACGAGCATCTGGGCTCCCGGCGGTACGCGTACTGTTCTTGCAACCAGCGCCGGTACCGTCGCAAACGCCGTCCGACCCGTCGAGGGGGATGGCAGGAACGAAACACGTCGGCCCGACGGGAGCTCAATGCAACCCTGATCGACCAGGATACGAATTGGCATTTTGGCCAAGAAATCCGTCCCCAGCAGGCACGGAACCGCCAGCGAGGAGGAGACCAATATTGGCCCAGACAATTTAATATCCCCAATACAAATTTGTGCGCGGATTTGTCCAATGATGCCCAGTGAGCCCCCATTAGCAGCATAGCACGGATCATCAATGGGAAGCAAAGGACGGCTTTGAACGGGAAGAATGTTATAAATCAATTCTGAAATAATAGTCGCCGATGCTCCCATATCGACCAGGATTCGCACTTCAACCCCGTCAATATGCCCCACAACGACCGACGACCCCGACGACGCGGCAACAACGCGATGGGCCAACTCGGACCACTGGCTGGGTAGAAATGCAGTCCCCCCAGTGGTACATTTTGGCGCGACTACAGGTAATTTACGACCCCCGTCCGTTGCGGTGCGTGAGTGTGCGACGGGTGTGTGCGTGGGCCAAACATGTGGGGTGCCGCGACTCGCCGGGTTTTGTTGGTGAAGCTTGGGAAGAGGCGCGACGTCCTGTCGAGGCATCGCCCCGCGCTGCCGAGGAGATCGGCATCCCGAGGCCACATGGCCCCGGAGGCCGCAATTGTAGCAGTGCGTAAGTGCTCCCGATGACTTGGGGTGGTCCTGGCGGCTCGGTCCGTCCCGAGCCGGTCGTACTCCCGATCTCCACTCCGTCGGGTGATTGATGGCGCAGATTTCTTCCGCTGGGAGGGTGGCTGCAGCCACGGTATGGGTGGCCGCCGCCTTGCTGGCCTTTCGACGCTGGGACAGCAGGTTTGCATGGATGTGTCGCGCGGCCCGCAGGGAACACATCTCCGTGTCGTCTTGCGCCAAGACGACAATGTCCAACTCGTCAGCCAACAGCAAGATTTTCTCCGTCACCATGGCGTCCACCCCTTCTTCATCCATCCGCCAGGAGAGCCGTACGGTACGCCAGGGGCAACTCCTTGGTACCTCGCTGGCGATCATAAAACAGCTGCCTGCAGTCCGAAGGTGGTCCATAGACTGCAGCCAGGAGTTGAAACGCCGTCTGCAGCGTGGCGCGCTTCGCTTTCGGCGCCGAGGTGAGAGTAGCGAGGGCATCACTGTCGAGCATCGCCGGCAGCGCGCGGAGAGCTTCGGCATCTGTCCACTGCGCCATTTCTTGGTGAGCGAGAAAACGCCTCTGGAAACTGCCCCAGTCACCGTCTTCGCCCACGAACTCCTTGAGAGGTGGTAAGCGCTGGTGTAACGCGGCGTCCGCAGTCACACGGTTTTGGCGGGAAGGGCGTGTGGCATCGGCGGTCGCTCTGCTGGTGACGCGCCGACCACTCCTGATGACGTGGCGGCTACTGTATGCCCGACGTCGGACGCGCGGCTCAGGCCGGCCCCGCCCTCAGCACTCACCGTAGTAATGGTGGGAATTTCGAAATCCGGCCCCGTGGAAATGGCGGGAACCGGCGCTGGACGTCGGCTGTCGTCGCTCCGTGTCGCTCCACCCGCTCCCAGCCGCGTAATTTCTTCTAGTGTGGCGGCTGCAGCGTAAAGTAGCTCCGCCAGTCGCGAATGAGCCTGCCATAGTCCGTCAGCCGACGGCTCCCATCCGTCCAGACGTTGCGGTGTGGATGGACCCGGCCCCGGCTGCTCGGCGTCGCCGTCAGCCATCTCGGGCTCAAAGTCGGCATCGGTTTCCTCTGCCCCCGGTTCTCTGGCACGAGCCGTCCGTCGCGTGTCCATGTTCGTAGAAGATCACTTCTGACGCCAGATGTAATAACGTTCAGGAAGCCTTGGACGCCGGGGTTGGAGGCACACTTATTTATTCCGCATAAGGTACAATACAGACCGGGACATACAACACTGGAAGGGGTGTCGGCCCCTTCACCCGTCTAACTGGGGAGACACACTGTAGGCTAACCCTAGCCTACCTCTCAGTCCTCCACTATCGGGCTAGGGGAGGCTAGCTAGCCCAGCACTGGCCAACTGGGCTTATGGCGCCCGGAGTCCCCAGACCAGCTCTGACAAGAGCACCGGCTCTGGCTCTCGGGGCCACGCCACTGGCTCGGTCCTGGTAGGCCCTGACAAGGGCGGCGATCCAGGGGAGTCCAGAGCTCTATCTAGCAGATCTTCCTTCTTCACTGGTTAAGCTTCATACATTCTGCCACGAGCCCTCCGGCTCACCTCCTTATATACCAACTCCCCCGCTGAGGGGTGGGGCCCCGGGGGATCCCAGCTCCGAGTCAGCCCCCCAGGCTGCCCGGTGCAGACGTCGCTGTGAGCACCCCCCTGTGCACAGACATAGCCACGCCCACTGTGTTTGTTTACCGTCTGATACCATTGTATAACAGCCCCTCCGTAACACCCCTACACATGCAATCCATCGCAGCATCCGTGTGCTGAAGTGTGTGCTGCAGCTGCACCACCTCCTGTACCCTCAAGGCCTCCTCTGCCCTGGAAACTCCCAGCTCGGCCTTGAGAAAGTCCATCTGTTGCTCCAGAGAATTACCTGTCGGAAGGGACACATAACCACGGCGATGAAGATGAAGACAGTACAGCCACCAGCGGCAGCAGACGGAGAAGAAGCAGCAGCACTAGGAGGAAGAGTACCAGCAGCGGGAGTAGTAGCAGACAGTCCCTCAGACCTATTCACCAGCTTGCATGCAAACACAGGGTCCAGAATAATAATACATGCACAGGAAGGACCTAGTGAGAGAGCAGTTAGTAAACCCAGTGCAGTCCTATGTTAGACAGCGGAAGTGGTCCACGTGGGAAATGAAGTAAAAACGAGGAATTACTCGTTTTAACTCGTAAAAATAAGTTATTGATGCACAGTGCTCAACAAAAATGAGTGTTCAATAGGTCCGTGGATTCAGAAAGATTGAGAGCAAAGGCCCCAACCCACCGGTCTCCTCGCAGCAAGCGTTGGCCTCCTGCAGTCGTTGCTGCAGCTCCAGCGCTTCATGCCGCAGGGTGTCCACCTCCGTCTGCTGCACCTCTTGGTTGGTAAAGAGGTCGTGCATGTTCACTCTCAGCTCGGCGGCCTCGGTGCCCAGCCGCTCGGCTTCAGTCCCGCGCTCTCGCGCCACTTCCCGCGCCGCCACCAGGTCTGCCTCTGAGTACCGCAGCAGCTCGTTACGCTCCTTCAGCTCCTGCGGGCGGAGATGGGCAGCATCTAAATTACGCGTAATTACAACATGTCATTTGAATACATTAATAAATTGTTTATCGTTCATCCAAAATATTGAGAAAATTAAGTCGGCTTGGGCAGGACACATTGCTGTTGCGAGAGTAGAGGCCTCACCTTCTGGAGGACCGTAATGTGCACGACGTGAGCGTCGTACTCTGAATCGGCGTGCATGTGCGATGCACGATATTCGGCCAGCTCCATGCACGCCAGATGCAGAGTCGTATCGTGCTCACGCCTCAACTGCTCCTGGCGCTCGCCCCACCGCACTGCCTTCAACTCCACGTGCAGGCTGTTGATGGCCTGCGAGTGCGCCCTTAGCTGCTCACGGGCAGATGGGCACAGCGGCACAGGCACGTGTATGCATAGGTGGGCAGCCCCTCATCACAGACACATGCAGCGTGCAAATGATGACAGGTACAGACATACAGACACACAGAGTATGTAGTTGTACAGAGAGATAAGAGACGAGAGACACGGGTAGGAAGCACAAGAAAATAAATAAAGAAATTACAGATGCAGAGACATACACACAAAGACACAAGCAAGTCATACAAATTTGGACACATGCATGGAAAGACAGTGCATGTGGAGCGAGATGTACATAGCCACAGGCAGAACATGCAGAGGGAGACGAGATAAGGATGCAGAGACACAGGCATCGAGTACAGAGACGCACGTGCACATACAGGCGGCACGCATGCAGATGGACGCACACATGCAGTGGATGCTTTTCAAGATGAAAAGAAGAAATTGAGATTATATTGTAAACAAATGAATAACTACAAAAATATGCAAGGTAAACACCCGTGGTCGTATTGAACATACTGCAATCACATTTAAAGAGAACATAAAATATTTAGAATGATAATAGAAAGTCCAAAAATAGAACCATGACACATTGTATACATCAATCAACGATTGGCAAGCATGCATACAACATGGAAACGTTCTTCATCATAAGATGATGAAGAAACTCGTTGCACCCAAATGTTCATCTTCAAATTGAGTCAATATTCCAAACAAATAACTCACAACGCCTCCCCACACTCTGTGTGGAGATGCTATGATACAAAAATTTAGTTTGATCTGCTTTTATCTTTTCATTTTCAACATTATTGAGAATCAAACCATGGACCACTCGCTACCATGAATTTAACAGAAAAGCCCATGAAAACAATGTCGGCTTTGCACTAAATCGAGCTAAGTTCCAGCTCTGAAAACCAAAGATCTGACTGTTTTCTGATAAACATTACTCGTTACTCTCCATAGCAGGGCAGATATCAAAGTATTTCCTCCTATTGTATGTGGACCAGAGGGCACTTAAAGATTTCTCAGAAGTAGTTCTGTGATGTATGCTTCTGCGGACCATTCTCTAACATGTCTTGGGGCCGCTGGCCCCCGCGGTCCCTCCTGGCTGCTCAAATATGTGGGGGCCGTTGGCCCCCGGGGTCTCTCCCTCACGCATCCCCTATTCCGTTCGCATTGCCACACCGCCCTAATACCCGCTAGGGTGTCGCCGGCATTCGAACGCGACGCCCCTACTCATCCAGCCTCACGCAGCGCTCCCCCGGGTTCGAAGTATTCGGCGTCCTGTGGCTTTTCCTCGATGCTCGTCTGGACACGTCACGCGGACGTCCGGAGGGCAGAGTTGGGAGCCGACTTGAACTTGGGCCTCTTGAAGTGAAGTGAGATCCCTCTACCTGGCTACGATCGCTTTTATCCTATCTCCCCGACCCAGGCCCTGCCTTCCAAGCCTTTCCTTGCTTCTTCGGCGCTTAAGCGCGGCGCATATTCTAATTAGTCCCATTCTCGTGCATACCTTAATTATGAGCTCTTTACTCCTCCGGGGCTTAAGCGCGGCGCATATTCGAATTAGTCCAATTCTCATGCATGGTGCCTTGGTTATGCGAATTATGCAGCGGCGTCCATCACAAAGCTTGTACCCCTCTGCCTGCCCCGTCGATACGTGCGTGTGTGGGGTGTGTGGGGTGCGTTTCACCCGCGGTGGCCAAGTGGCCCCTCGCTGCGACCTTGCAATCTTAATGCCGGTCGCAGCGCCGCGAAGTAGCATCGGGGGAGGTCGTCCAATTCCCTGGTCACCGGAAACCGTGAAAGTTATCCCGATAAGGGTTTCTCGGATTAAAACCGGTCGGCCAGGTGACTTCCCCTCGGAGCTCTATGGGGGGGGGGGTGGGAAATGCGTGCGGGTGTGTTCATGTGAGGTGAGGTGGGGGGACGCGGGGGTCGGCTCCTTCACTTGGTGGTGGCGAGGTCGGGGATAGGGCGCCCGCCGAGCGGCTTTGTGGCGGCGGGATCACACATGCGATGGTGCACTGCTCAGGGGATGAGGACAGACCTCATGCACACACATGGAGGTGGGGGGGCTGCAGCTTAAGGTTCTGGTTACCTGGTGCTGCAGCCTGGCGATCTGGCCGTGCATGCAATCCATCTCAGCATCCGTGTGCTGAAGTGTGTGCTGCAGCTGCACCACCTCCTGTACCCTCGCGGCCTCCTCTGCCCTGGAGACTCCCAGCTCGGCCTTGAGAAAGTCCATCTGTTGCTCCAGAGAATTACCTGTCGGAAGGGACACATAACCACGGCGATGAAGATGAAGACAGTACAGCCACCAGCGGCAGCAGACGGAGAAGAAGCAGCAGCACTAGGAGGAAGAGTACCAGCAGCGGGAGTAGTAGCAGACAGTCCCTCAGACCTATTCACCAGCTTGCATGCAAACACAGGGTCCAGAATAATAATACATGCACAGGAAGGACCTAGTGAGAGAGCAGTTAGTAAACCCAGTGCAGTCCTATGTTAGACAGCGGAAGTGGTCCACGTGGGAAATGAAGTAAAAACGAGGAATTACTCGTTTTAACTCGTAAAAATAAGTTATTGATGCACAGTGCTCAACAAAAATGAGTGTTCAATAGGTCCGTGGATTCAGAAAGATTGAGAGCAAAGGCCCCAACCCACCGGTCTCCTCGCAGCAAGCGTTGGCCTCCTGCAGTCGTTGCTGCAGCTCCAGCGCTTCATGCCGCAGGGTGTCCACCTCCGTCTGCTGCACCTCTTGGTTGGTAAAGAGGTCGTGCATGTTCACTCTCAGCTCGGCGGCCTCGGTGCCCAGCCGCTCGGCTTCAGTCCCGCGCTCTCGCGCCACTTCCCGCGCCGCCACCAGGTCTGCCTCTGAGTACCGCAGCAGCTCGTTACGCTCCTTCAGCTCCTGCGGGCGGAGATGGGCAGCATCTAAATTACGCGTAATTACAACATGTCATTTGAATACATTAATAAATTGTTTATCGTTCATCCAAAATATTGAGAAAATTAAGTCGGCTTGGGCAGGACACATTGCTGTTGCGAGAGTAGAGGCCTCACCTTCTGGAGGACCGTAATGTGCACGACGTGAGCGTCGTACTCTGAATCGGCGTGCATGTGCGATGCACGATATTCGGCCAGCTCCATGCACGCCAGATGCAGAGTCGTATCGTGCTCACGCCTCAACTGCTCCTGGCGCTCGCCCCACCGCACTGCCTTCAACTCCACGTGCAGGCTGTTGATGGCCTGCGAGTGCGCCCTTAGCTGCTCACGGGCAGATGGGCACAGCGGCACAGGCACGTGTATGCATAGGTGGGCAGCCCCTCATCACAGACACATGCAGCGTGCAAATGATGACAGGTACAGACATACAGACACACAGAGTATGTAGTTGTACAGAGAGATAAGAGACGAGAGACACGGGTAGGAAGCACAAGAAAATAAATAAAGAAATTACAGATGCAGAGACATACACACAAAGACACAAGCAAGTCATACAAATTTGGACACATGCATGGAAAGACAGTGCATGTGGAGCGAGATGTACATAGCCACAGGCAGAACATGCAGAGGGAGACGAGATAAGGATGCAGAGACACAGGCATCGAGTACAGAGACGCACGTGCACATACAGGCGGCACGCATGCAGATGGACGCACACATGCAGTGGATGCTTTTCAAGATGAAAAGAAGAAATTGAGATTATATTGTAAACAAATGAATAACTACAAAAATATGCAAGGTAAACACCCGTGGTCGTATTGAACATACTGCAATCACATTTAAAGAGAACATAAAATATTTAGAATGATAATAGAAAGTCCAAAAATAGAACCATGACACATTGTATACATCAATCAACGATTGGCAAGCATGCATACAACATGGAAACGTTCTTCATCATAAGATGATGAAGAAACTCGTTGCACCCAAATGTTCATCTTCAAATTGAGTCAATATTCCAAACAAATAACTCACAACGCCTCCCCACACTCTGTGTGGAGATGCTATGATACAAAAATTTAGTTTGATCTGCTTTTATCTTTTCATTTTCAACATTATTGAGAATCAAACCATGGACCACTCGCTACCATGAATTTAACAGAAAAGCCCATGAAAACAATGTCGGCTTTGCACTAAATCGAGCTAAGTTCCAGCTCTGAAAACCAAAGATCTGACTGTTTTCTGATAAACATTACTCGTTACTCTCCATAGCAGGGCAGATATCAAAGTATTTCCTCCTATTGTATGTGGACCAGAGGGCACTTAAAGATTTCTCAGAAGTAGTTCTGTGATGTATGCTTCTGCGGACCATTCTCTAACATGTCTTGGGGCCGCTGGCCCCCGCGGTCCCTCCTGGCTGCTCAAATATGTGGGGGCCGTTGGCCCCCGGGGTCTCTCCCTCACGCATCCCCTATTCCGTTCGCATTGCCACACCGCCCTAATACCCGCTAGGGTGTCGCCGGCATTCGAACGCGACGCCCCTACTCATCCAGCCTCACGCAGCGCTCCCCCGGGTTCGAAGTATTCGGCGTCCTGTGGCTTTTCCTCGATGCTCGTCTGGACACGTCACGCGGACGTCCGGAGGGCAGAGTTGGGAGCCGACTTGAACTTGGGCCTCTTGAAGTGAAGTGAGATCCCTCTACCTGGCTACGATCGCTTTTATCCTATCTCCCCGACCCAGGCCCTGCCTTCCAAGCCTTTCCTTGCTTCTTCGGCGCTTAAGCGCGGCGCATATTCTAATTAGTCCCATTCTCGTGCATACCTTAATTATGAGCTCTTTACTCCTCCGGGGCTTAAGCGCGGCGCATATTCGAATTAGTCCAATTCTCATGCATGGTGCCTTGGTTATGCGAATTATGCAGCGGCGTCCATCACAAAGCTTGTACCCCTCTGCCTGCCCCGTCGATACGTGCGTGTGTGGGGTGTGTGGGGTGCGTTTCACCCGCGGTGGCCAAGTGGCCCCTCGCTGCGACCTTGCAATCTTAATGCCGGTCGCAGCGCCGCGAAGTAGCATCGGGGGAGGTCGTCCAATTCCCTGGTCACCGGAAACCGTGAAAGTTATCCCGATAAGGGTTTCTCGGATTAAAACCGGTCGGCCAGGTGACTTCCCCTCGGAGCTCTATGGGGGGGGGGGTGGGAAATGCGTGCGGGTGTGTTCATGTGAGGTGAGGTGGGGGGACGCGGGGGTCGGCTCCTTCACTTGGTGGTGGCGAGGTCGGGGATAGGGCGCCCGCCGAGCGGCTTTGTGGCGGCGGGATCACACATGCGATGGTGCACTGCTCAGGGGATGAGGACAGACCTCATGCACACACATGGAGGTGGGGGGGCTGCAGCTTAAGGTTCTGGTTACCTGGTGCTGCAGCCTGGCGATCTGGCCGTGCATGCAATCCATCTCAGCATCCGTGTGCTGAAGTGTGTGCTGCAGCTGCACCACCTCCTGTACCCTCGCGGCCTCCTCTGCCCTGGAGACTCCCAGCTCGGCCTTGAGAAAGTCCATCTGTTGCTCCAGAGAATTACCTGTCGGAAGGGACACATAACCACGGCGATGAAGACGAATACAGTACAGCCACCAGCGGCAGCAGACGGAGAAGAAGCAGCAGCACTAGGAGGAAGAGTACCAGCAGCGGGAGTAATAGCAGACAGTCCCTCAGACCTATTCACCAGCTTGCATGCAAACACAGGGTCCAGAATAATAATACATGCACAGGAAGGACCTAGTGAGAGCGCAGTTAGTAAACCCATTGCAGTCCTATGTTAGACAGCGGAAGTGGTCCACGTGGGAAATGAAGTAAAAACGAGGAATTACTCGTTTTTACTCGTAAAAATAAGTTATTGATGCACAGTGCTCAACAAAAATGAGTGTTCAATGGGTCCGTGGATTCAGAAAGATTGGGAGCAAAGGCCCCAACCCACCGGTCTCCTCGCAGCAAGCGTTGGCCTCCTGCAGTCGTTGCTGCAGCTCCAGCGCTTCATGCCGCAGGGTGTCCACCTCTGTCTGCTGCACCTCTTGGTTGGTAAAGAGGTCGTGCATGTTCACTCTCAGCTCCGCGGCCTCGGTGCCCAGCCGCTCAGCTTCAGTCCCGCGCTCTCGCGCCACTTCACGCGCCGCCACCAGGTCTGCCTCTGAGTGCCGCAGCAGCTCGTCACGCTCCTTCAGCTCCTGCGGGCGGAGATGGGCAGCATCTAAATTACGCGTAATTACAACATGTAATTTGAATACATTAATAAATTGTTTATCGTTCATCCAAAATATTGAGAAAATTAAGTGGGCTTGGGCAGGACACATTGCTGTTGTGAGAGTGGAGGCCTCACCTTCTGGAGGACCGTAATGTGCACGACGTGAGCGTCGTACTCTGAATCGGCGTGCATGTGCGATGCACGATATTCGGCCAGCTCCATGCACGCCAGATGCAGAGTCGTATCGTGCTCACGCCTCAACTGCTCCTCGCGCTCGCCCCACCGCACTGCCTCCAACTCCACTTGCAGGCTGTTGATGGCCTGCGAGTGCGCCCTTAGCTGCTCACGGGCAGATGGGCACAGCGGCACAGGCACGTGTATGCATAGGTGGGCAGCCCCTCATCACAGACACATGCAGCGTGCAAATGAGGACAGGTACAGACATACAGACACACAGAGCATGTAGTTGTACAGAGAGATAAGAGACGAGAGACACGGGTAGGAAGCACAAGAAAATAAATAAAGAAATTACAGATGCAGAGACATACACACAAAGACACAAGCAAGTCATACAAATTTGGATACATGCATGGAAAGACAGTGCATGCGGAGAGAGATGTACATAGCCACAGGCAGAACATGCAGAGGGAGACGAGATAAGGATGCAGAGACACAGGCATCGAGTACAGAGACGCACGTGCACATACAGGCGGCACGCATGCAGATGGACGCACACATGCAGTGGATGCTTTTCAAGATGAAAAGAAGAAATTGAGATTATATTGTAAACAAATCAATAACTACAAAACTATGCAAGGTAAACACCCGTGGTCGTATTGAACATACTGCAATCACATTTAAAGAGAACATAAAATATTTAGAATGATAATAGAAAGTCCAAAAATAGAACCATGACACATTGTATACATCAATCAACGATTGGCAAGCATGCATACAACATGGAAACGTTCTTCATCATAAGGTGATGAAGAAACTCGTTGCACCCAAATGTTCATCTTCAAATTGAGTCAATATTCCAAACAAATAACTCACAACGCCTCGCCACACTCTGTGGGGAGATGCTATGATCTGCTTTTATCTTTTCATTTTCAACATTATTGAGAATCAAACCATGGACCACTCGCTACCATGAATTTAGCAAAATTAATTAAGGAACCAAAATATAATTCGATGGGTTTCTTTATTGTACTCATTTGCAACGAGGCCGAGACCACTATGCTTGAGAACCCGGTTTAATCACTGTGGTTGGGCGGCTGTAATCCACATTCGATCCTGGCATCTCAGCCATGCTGGCACAGCATGTCTGACTCCTGGGGCACCTAGCCACCTCCCAGAATCCACTGATTTAATGTGCCATTTCCTTGACGTTCAGATCACACTCTGAATAAAAACTCAACTCATTAATCAATAATGATGCATTCAATAGTGCAGAGCAACTAAAAGTTGACGTTTCAGGCAATGGTTCTTCTTCACAGCAGAGAAGTCAAAGCAATATCCATTGCAGCGTTATTGACGAATATGTTGAGGTTTTGTTTTCTCTGCTTGTGTGCCATGCAGCTTCACAACGAGAACACATTATTTGAGTCTTTCAGTAAGGCCATGTAGATAGAAAAATAAAAATAATAACAATATCACGACGTTTTGCTCGCAACACAAGCAATCGTCATCAGGTGAAGAATATAGCGGGAGAGCTGCTGAGGTAGGAAAATATATATGGTGGGAGCGCTGCTAAGGCAGGGAGTTATAAAAGTTTGAGATGGGTGTAGCTCAAGGGTCAGTGGGCGGGGCTCGATAAAATTTGCATGTAAATGTAAGATCGGAGAAATCTTGACAAACTAAGTTTCATTTTAGCCGCGCTCCGTGTAACAAGGGGACAGGGGGGTTGGCGGTGGCCACAGTACCTCCTCAGCATGGTTGTTGTTGAGTTGGCGCAGCATCTCGTGGAGACTCTTATCTCTCTGGCTCAGTGCGCCACGCAGGGTGGCGAAGTGCGCTCGTGCCCTGCCCAGATTGCCCCGCAGGGTCGACACCTCCTGGGACAGCTGGTGCATTTCCTTCTCCGGCATTTCCAACTGCGACGGGAGCAAGGGCACATGGCACGGGCACGTTAGCTCCTCCCAGCGTAAATCCTGCTTTCAATCGCATCGTGACGGACGCCATTCGCCATCGGATGGTGGAGACAATACCATGGCACATGGCAAGTGAGGTGCCTCATACACAGGTAGACACACATAGGACAGATGGTCTGACACCCACACACCAATGCAAAGGCAACACCACGATTCCCTGCACAGCCTAAACAGTGGTAGAATACGCAGCAGCGCTGGCCTAGGAAACGCACCCACACCATCTTTGGTTACATTCGCTCAGCCAATGAGAGTGATGAATGCTCCGAGATGACCAGCATTCATGGCCGTAAGTACTTTAAAAAAAATCTATCATTTATGGTGGGACCCCGGCGTCCCATAAGCCCCTGGCTCTCTCATAAACTGCGTTGCGATGTCATTTTATGTCTGTTGAAGGCGAACGAAACGGCAATCTATTCCTCTCGACGAGCTCTACACGATGCACTAATCAAAGTTTCAAAGTTTGGTTTCTTCTGCACATCACAACAGAATTATCCGCGCCAGGTAGGTTTCGCCATTTATGTGCGCAGTGGGACGGAGTCACCAAAAATTAATTAATTACGATTTTGACTTCCGTTTATTCGGGACCTCGGGGTCCTGCTATAAGGTTAATTTGTTATTCAGTTTTATCACAGTACGCTCTGAGCCACGCAGCGCTCGCCAGTTTTTAAAAGACAAACTCGTCCTCCGACGTGTTTGCTCCTCCTTGGTCTCTCTGCCTTAGCCCCAAAATGTCTGGAAAGAGGCCTGCAAGTGTTAGTGCTGTAAATGAGACCAACACGTCAAGAAAAAGTATCACTGAGAATGTCAACATGCCAGTGATAAGGCAGGTCGAGGTGGGTGAGCATCAGGCGGTTACACTGCTTAGTGAGTACATGATACATCCTGATGCTATTATAAAAAAAACTAATTCGTTTTGATAGAATGTTTATCATCTGTTTTATTACTCTTATTAAATAGCGCTGATACTCATACTCCAATGAAGCCCTCATTTATTGTTCATAAGAGATAACGCTGTCGAGAAGGCATCCCCATATTTCATGGTATAACCCTTTTCGCACCGATTTGATGAATGCTCACTTCTCCACATCGGCATCTTGAGCGCTAAGTGAAGACTGCCTGTATTAATTTCAGCCTAAGTCGACATAGGGGAGTCCCAACACCGGCTCAGATATCCCTCACCACTGGTGTTAGCAGGTATGTGTGGTTCATGCGGACTTGCTGCCTTGTAAAAGGTGTCAATCTGGTGTTGGGGCAAAGCTTTATCATTCCATACAGGTTTGCATTCCAGCCCAGCTTTGTGTCTGTCCCCGACCTCTCTTGCCAAGTACAACTCCTCTGACATCAAACACAAGAGGTGGCACTATCTTCTTGGTTCTTTCGGTAAAGTCACGTAGAAGGGAAGTAATAAAATAATAAAAATAAAACATAATAAAACAATTCTCACGACGTTTCGGCCACAACGCAAGCAGCCGTCCTCAGCCGTCCTCAGAGGACGGCTGCTTGCGTTGTGGCCGAAACGTCGTGAGAATTGTTTTATTATGTTTTATTTTTATTATTTTATTACTTCCCTTCTACGTGACTTTACCGAAAGAACCAAGAAGATGAATCCCTGCAGGTGGCACTACTGAATGTGTCAACCTACACCAGAGGTCGCAATCGGGTGCCCGATACCCGTACCGACACTGGTGCGGCCGGGTACGGGTAAGGAATCAAAACCTGTTTGCGACCTCTGACCTACACTGTTGACACATTCAGTATCTCGTGTTGCTTTCAACTGTGGTCTGTTGAAGAATCTCATGGATACTCTTGCCGATCCAGAGAAAGAAACACAGGCGCTCAGCACGCTCGCTTTGCCCGAATTACAGGAGGCCACCTTGCAGCTATAAGGAGCCCATGCAGCGATGACGTCGGCAATTATAGTGATGATGTCACTGGCTTTACCCAAACAGGGCGGAGCCAATGGCTAGGCCTTATTGCGTCAATAAACGTCACGTGACCCCCAGGCACACCTGCTGGGAAATGGCAGTTGGCCCGAGATGCTATCACCAAGGCAACGCAAACAAGGACCAACTGCCCAGAGAAAGCTCTCTCCGACTAAAATCCTTGATGAAACTATCAATCTGTGGTCTTAAACTATGAACCTCATTACCCACGCATCAAGCGTTCAATTTAAATTGACATTAAAATTATATTTCAAAAAAATCTATTTTTCCTCTATGTGATCACAGTATTTGTTATTTCGTACAACTCCAATTCCACCAAAACGCAAGAGGTGGCGCCACTCACCTCCACTGTTGACGAATTCGGAGTCTCCAGCGTCGCCTGCAACTGCTGCCGTCTCTTGAAGAACCTCATGGCTCCTGTTGGGGGCGCAAGAGACAAAAACAGCCGCTCAGCTCGCTCGCCCTGCCGGAGTGACGTCACGCCGGAGGTGACGTCATTGACCCCGCCTACCATGGGCGGAGCCAGATCACGTGCCCCGCAGGCGCCCGATGGGGGCAGAGGAAGCTGCCTCCGACTCAGCCAGGGCTCAAAGTCCTCGACGCGGCTTCTGCGGTTTGAAACTCGGAACCTCCTCACGCATCGAGAGTTCAATGTTTGAATGCAATTTAATCGAGGCCACTGTATGGTCTTGGTGTGGTCCTTTGAATGTCGGTGTTTTGCCATCTTGCCCAAGCTTGGATTTGATGTTGACAAATCTACAGGGAGGTATGTACTTATACAGTTTGATTTTGCACTACATGTTTATTGGTGACTTGACTACATTTTCTCAATCCTTACTCGAGTATCCTTCAGTGCATTTTGTTGTTGTTGATGCAACTGGCTGACCCGCCCCTTCTGGACGTGTGTGAAAGAGAACGTTAAAGCTCATGGTAAATACAGATTTTGATTTATCTACACGCACACACGGAGGGCATATCCGGGTACCTGGCCTCTATGCAGCAGACACGAGTAATTGATTATACAGTATTATCTTTCAGGATGTTATTAAGAACTTTATTAAATGTTTTGTCACAAATCAAACATCGAGCATAGCAACAAATATCATGCAACACGCCGGAGACCGACACCTCCCTTACCGACCTCACCTCGTCCTCCTCACCCATCGCCTCGTCCTCCTCACCCCTCGTCCTCACCCCTAACCTCGTCCTCACCTCACCCCTCCCCTCGTCCACCTCACCCGTCGTCCTCAACCCACACCTCGTTCTCGCCCCTCGTTCTCCACATCTCATCCTCCTCACACAGCTACCTGCACTCTATGGAGTAGACGTGAATAATTGACTATAATTCATGTTATGAATAACTTTATTAAATGTTTTGTCACGAATCAAACATCACCTCGTCCGCACCCCTCACCTCGTCCTCCTCACCCCCACTCGTTCTTCTTACTCCTCACCCCTCGTTCTCTTCACCCCTCGTTCTCCTCACCCCTCGTTCTCCTCACCCCTCAGCTCGTCTTCCTCACCCCTCACCTTGTCCTCCTCAACCTTCGCTGGTCCACCGCACCCCCACACCTCGTTCTTCTTAGTCCTCACCCCCCGTCCTTTTCACCCCCCGTTCTCCTCACTCCTCGTCCTTCTCACCCCTCGTCCTCCTCACCCCTCGTCCTCCTCACCCCTCGTCCTCCTCACCCCTCGTCCTCCTCACCCCTCGTCCTCCTTACCCCTCATCCTTCTCACCCCTCGTCCTTCTCACCCCTCGTCCTCCTCACCCCTCGTCCTCCTCACCCCTCGTCCTCCTCACCCCTCGTCCTCCTTACCCCTCGTCCTTCTCACCCCTCGTCCTCCTCACCCCTCGTTCTCCTCACCCATCGTTTTCCTCACCCCTCAGCTCGTCTTCCTCACCCCTCACCTCACCTTGTCCTCCTCACCCCTCGCTCGTCCACCACACCCTGCGCCTCGTCCTCCTCACCCCTCATCTCGTCCCCCTCCTCACCAATCACATCACTTTATCTGCCTCCTCACCCATCACCTCACCTCGTCTGCCTCATCACCCATCATCTCACCTAGTCTCCTCACCCATCACCTCACCTCGTCCCCCTCACCCACCACAGCACCTCGTCTTTCCTCACCCATCACCTCACCTCGTCTACCACCTCACTCATCACCTCACCTCGTCTTCCTCCACCCATCACCTCAGCTCGTCTCTTCTCACCCATTACATCACCTCGTCCCCCTCCTCACCCATCACCTCACCTCCCCTATCCTCACCCATTACCTCACCTCGTCAACCTCCACCCCCCCCCCCCCCATGGGTTTTATCCTGATCTTGACACGCTGTGGTTATGAGATATTAAATACCTCACCTGGGACGCAGGAGGTCGTGGGTTTGATCCCAACCCTGACTATGCCTGCTGCTGCTGTATCTTTGGAGTTTTCGTCTCTCTCACCCTATGACCCATACTCATAGAGACCTACACAGAACCTCATAGAGCCATGCTCCTAGAGACCCACACAGACCCACAGAGACCCACAGAGACCCATACTTATAGAGAAGAGATGTTGACTACCTCGCCTGGTTCCCAGGAGACCCGGGTTCGATCCCGACCCCAGACGATGGCTGCTGCCGTATATTTGGAGTCTGCGTCTCTCATCAGGGTTTAGGATCTGGGGAACCGAACCCTTCCGTAGCCCGGGGACTGTCTGTACACACACACACGATGAGTGGTACAGAAGGTAAACAAATACATCATCAGCACCAACCTGGATGTTGGACTTCTTTCGCACCGCACGTCGCCAACCGTGCTAATCTGGACGTATCTCTGGGTGTCTGGGTCTGGAGGTCTGTGGGTCTCTCTGGTTCTCTGCTTCTCGGTGTCTGTAGGTCTCTGTGGTTGTATGTATGTTGAAATGCTTTCGCACCGTACGTAGCCAACTGTGGTTAATCGAAAGTGAGGTTGGCGGGGCAGAACCAGGCAAGGATAACAAAGTAAACACAACACCAACAAGCAGTCCTAAAGAAACAAGTGTCAATCTATACGATGAAGATGATGATTTGAAATTGCAGGGCAGCTCCCAGCGGTGCTTCCTAATATTGTTGAAAAGGAAGACAGCATTCCAGACGGCCGCGGAAGCGGCGCATCTGAAAGTGCCGCGCGATGATGATGGCGGGGGTGGCCACCGTCTTTGTGTTGATGGCTATCAGCCAAAAGCTGCCGCTGCTGCGACGGGGGTGGTCGTTTATGCTCCCGTGTTCCTTCCTCCCCGTCTCCCCCCTCCTCTTCGCATCACCTACTCTTTCCGCGTCTCCCTCCTGCTTCCCATGTCTCCCTCCTCATGCTCCCCATGTCTCCCTCCTCTCCTCCCCGCATCTCCCTCCTCCCCGTGTCTCCCTCCCCGTGTCTCCCCCCTCCTCCCCGTGTCTCCTCTCTCCTATCCTCATCTCCCTCTATCCCTCGTGTCTCCCATCTCGCATCTGCCTCCTCCCCGTGTCTCCTTCCTCATCCTCCTCACGTACTCCTCTCCTTCTTGGCAAGCACTTTGTGCATGTGGTGCGTAATGATAAAACGTAGTAGGGCTTTCGTGACCAATATAGTTTTTTTTGGGTTAGATGTTGTCAATATAAATGTGTCGTTAAACCCGCCACCACTCGACCACACAGCCAATTAGTAACGGGGTTTATCACATAAACAGAGCGTGGTGCCAATTCGTTACTAGTAACAGCACTAAACCGGTTGTGTGTTGGAGAGCAAATCCACAGAATTTACAGTCTTGAGTATGGTGATGTTTCGCCAGCAATTACAACCGGCATCATCAGGTGACAGCCAGATCTGTTTACGTGACAAACCCTGTTACTGATTGGCTGTTTGGTCAGGTGGTGGCAGGTTTAACGACACGGCGTTTACGTCAACTAACCCAACAACAACACCTGTATTGTGTAATGACGATGACAGCCGTAGTTGTTGTGGTTGGTTGTGTTCAGTTTTATTTTTTTAATTTATTTGGTATAGCCCTGTGAGCCATTCGGCTCTTGCATCGGGTGCAACCGCAACAAACAAAAGACAAAAACATGAACAATAAAACATCTTAATGTGACTATGCGCAAACAGAAAATCCAGGAAAAAACAGCAAAATATTGTGGGGAACGGTGGCATAACCCCTTTGCTTTGCTACGAACCCAGCGGACCAGAGTTCAATTCCTGCTGACGGCCACCAACACCACCCAGTGATAGAGATGATTTGAACCGGTCCTGGGCCTCCCCTATGTCGATTCAGCCCCAAATGAGTAACCTGGTGCGGCGGTGTGTAGTAAACATTGCCACTGGGGGAGACAAAGGTGGTCGGGGGAGCATGGTGCTGGCCACCCACCCCCTCATGTGCTGCAGTACCCATAGCCTTCATAGGCGCTGCTGCTACTTGCTCACATCACTTGCCCCAACAGTCTGTTAAGGGGTTACCCAGGGAATCTTTGTGGTTGTGGTTATAGTTGTGGCTGATGTTGTTGTGGTATTTGTGGTTGTTGATGTGGTTGTGGTGCTAGGGGGTTCTGTGACCAAGATCGCTAACTACAGTACCATGCAGCACGAGGTGGCCCACCTGAGGTCACCTGACCACTCCGCCGAGGTACCCCCACCCCCCGCCTCCTCCCTCCCCCCTCCCGCCCACCACCACCCTCCCCCCAGTGGTGATGTATGTTGAACTTCTTTCGCACTGTACGTAGACAAGTCAATTGGGAATCAAGCCTCTCTCCTCCCCATGTCTACCTCCTCCTCTCCATGTCTTCCTCCTCATCCCCGTGTTTCCCTCCTCCCCGCATCTCCCTCCTCCCCGGTTTTCCCTCCTCCTCCCCGTGTCTCCCTCCTCCTCCCCGTGTCTCCCTCCTCATCCCCGTGTCTCCCTCCTCATCCCCGTGTCTCCCTCTATTCCTCGTGTCTCCCATCTCATGTCTGTTTCCTCCCTGTATCTCTTTCCCCCTCTCCCCCTCCTCCTCTCCTCCACGTCTTCTTCCCCGTAGATCTCCACCTCGTCGTTCCCCTCGTCAGGGGAGGCCGCTGTACGAACCCTCGGAGGCTGTTTGAGGAGGTGGACAAGGAGGAGGTGGGCAAGAAGGTTGAGGAGCCGCTCCTGCACTTTGTCAGGTTCGAGAACGCTCACATCGAGTGGAGCCTCCACTTCATCAGGGAGCGTCTCCTGCCACGGGCTCCCACGCACGGCCACCACCACCACGGTCATCGTCACCACGGCCACTGCCACCATGGCCACCGCCAACACGGCCACCACGGTCACCACCACCACCACGAAAGTGAGTGGGTGGGTGAGTGGGTCGGTGTGAAAGTGATTGGTGAGTGAGTGGGGGAGCATGACAGTGAGTGGTTAGTGAGTCGGTGGGTGTAACAGTGAGTGGTGGGTGGGCGTGAGAGTGAGTGGTGAGTGAGTGGGCGGGAGTGAGTGGTGAGTGAGTGGGTGGGTGTGAGAGTGAGTGGTGAGTGGGTGGGTGTGAGAGTGAGTGATGGGTGGGTGTGAGAGTGGAGGGTAGGTGTGAGAGATTGATGGGTAGGTGGGCATGAGTGGTGAGTGAGTGGGCGGGTGAGAGAGGGAGTGGTGGGTATGGGAGTGAGTGGTGGGTGGGTGTGAGTGGGTGTGAGAGTGAGTGGTGAGTGTGGGTGTGACAGTGAGTAGTGAGTGGGCGGGTATGATAGTGAGTGGTGAGTGGGTGTGAGAGTGAGTGGTGAGTGTGTGGGTGTGACAGTGAGTAGTGAGTGGGCAGGCGTAAAAGTGAGTGGTGAGTGAGTGGGTGTAATAGAGTGAGTGGTGGGTGGGTTGGCGGCGTGAGAGGTGGTGGGTGGTTTGGCGGGCGTGAGAGTGGGTGAATGGGTGTGAGAGTGAGTGGTGAGTGATTGGACGGGAGTGAGAGTGAGTGGTGGGTGTGGGGTGGGTGGGCGTGCGTAAGAGTGAGTGGGCCGGCATGAAAGTGAGTGGTGAGTGAGTGGATGTGAGAGTAAGTGGTGGCTTCCACGCAGCACTAAGGTGGTAGCTATCCGAACGGTTAAAGTTATTTTTATTTCTTTCAATTTCGATAGATTCTCTAATTAGTCTTGGCCAGTAGTAGCTAGTTTTACACAGAACTTCAACATTATCAAAATCAATTGAGTGTCCTTGTTGGCACGTGTGTTCTGCTACTGCTGACAGTTGTATTTGGCAGATGTTCTTTTAGTCTCGTGCTGATCATTCGTCCTGTTTGCCCAACATGACATTTACCACACGTGCAATTGATCCTGTATACACCTTTTGTTGATAGCTTCGGTAATACATCTTTTGTACCAGATATAAATTTCCGTATTTTATGTACAGTGAGGGAAAAAAAGTATTTGATCCCCTGCTAATTTGGTACGTTTGCCCACTGACAAAGAAATTATCAGTCTATAATTTTAATGGTAGGTTTATTTGAACAGTGAGAGACAGAATAACAACAAAAATCCAGAAAAACGCATGTTAAAAATGTTATAAATTGATTTGCATTTTAATGAGGGAAATATGTATTTGACCCCTTCTCAATCAGAAAGATTTCTGGCTCCCAGGTGTCTTTTATACAGGTAACGAGCTGAGATTAGGAGCACACTCTTAAAGGGAGTGCTCCTAATCTCAGTTTGTTACCTGTATAAAAGACACCTGTTCACAGAAGAAATCAATCAATCAGATTCCAAACTCTCCACCATGGCCAAGACCAGAGAGCTCTCCAAGGATGTCAGGGACAAGATTGTAGACCTACACAAGGCTGGAATGGGCTACAAGACCATCGCCAAGCAGCTTGGTGAGAAGGTGACAACAGTTGGTGCGATTATTTGCAAATGTGTAATGCGGGCGCGGGCGACCTCCCGGATGTGACGTCACGGAGAGGTGGAGTTAGGTGACGTGGGAGCAAGGTTAAGGTTCTTAAGGGATGAGACCGGAAGAGGAGGGGAGAGAGTGAGAGACTGGACGAGAGTAAGGCCACGTTGGGCGAAGCGAGGAAGAGTGGCACCAGCGGCCAGCGGTGGCCAGCTAAGGGAGCAGCCAGCGGAGCTGCGAGAGAAGACAGCAGTGTGGCTGCTGGAGAGAGGGTGGTTGAGGAGCTGCGGTGAACACAGCCGGCGAGGCTGTGTGTGAGAGGCTACGAGAGCGACGAGAAGAGAAACAGCAGCGAGTGCAGCCAGTGGGGGCTGCGTGAGGGTAACAGCGGCGAGGCTGCTGGAAGGTTACGAGAACAACGGGAGACCAACAGAGGAGCTGTTGGCGTGACGGGAGAAACAGCAGTATCAGTATCAGTGCGGAAGGCGTATAGAAGGACAGCCGTGTGGGTTGCGAGGAAGAACCGAATAAAGGACACCAAGCCAGACTTCGTGGTCGAGTCCTTTATTACATTGGTGTCGGAAGTGCAACGGCATGTCGAAACAAGTGAGAAAGAAAAATGTTCCAGCGCCAGCATCGGCTTCTTCGTCCGAAGACGACGACTTCCCTCCAAACATGGATCCTGCCGGGGTGGTGGAGGAGAGCCCTGCTGAAACGAGTGCGGGGACTGGGGTTGAAGATGTAGCCGCAGTCTCGGGGCCGCCGACAACATCAGACGCTGATCTGCGATGGCTGCAGGTGGCGGAGCAACTGGAGATGCTCAAGGACGTCCTGGGCCAATTGTGTCATCTCGTCACCCCAAGGACGGCGACGGAGAGGGCGGAGGGTGCTCCACAGGCCGCCACGGTATCTTCGCTCCCGGCGCCATTGGCCACGCGGCAGGAGGCCGCCATCTTGCGCGTTCCGCGGCGGGAAACCGCCATCTTGACCACGCCGCGGTTCGACGCCATTTTGAATTTGCCACCGGAGGAGCCATCGGCGGAGGGCGGAGTAAAGAGAAGTCGGAGTCACCATCTCACCACGGTCAAAGAATTCGCCATTGGGGGCGACTGGAGCGCTTTCGCCTGCAGATTTTTGGCGGCGGTCCGTTCTGCGAGATGGACCGATGCTGAGGCCTTAGAAGTGTTGCCGACTCTTCTGGACGACGAATCTGTTCGATTTTTTCGTTACATTAAGGCCGAAAAGAAGAAGACATTATATGGAGTTTTTCAAGAAATGGCCGACGCCTACAAGCCTCCTGACGACGCGCATCGGCGATTTGCTCAACGACAACGAGCGCCCGAGGAATCGCCCGTGGCATACAGGGGTGCGGTGCTTGATTTGGCTATGGCCGCGTATCCAGAAACAACACCTGACCTGCTCGAGCCTCTCATCTTGGGCAAGATGCTCGAGCTGTCTCGGGATCTTGGGATTCCCATGCCGGTGTGTGGGCATGAGAAGCTCACTTCCCGGGCGGCGGCAAAATGTCTGGATGCACAATTCAACCTCCGACGGTGGAAACAAGTCGCGGCGTGGACAGGGGGGCCCGTCGCAGAGGGTGGCGCTCTGGGTTGGGACCCTACGAAGTCGGTATACGTGCCGGATGGGGGGGGCCCTCAGGAGCTGACGGCCGCCTCTGGGCCATGGTCAGGCCGCGGTGGGCCGGCCTCTCGCGCTGCACCACCGGTACGGGGCCGGCGGGATGCAAGGCCTGCGCTTCGGCGCAACGACGCCGATTGTTTCCGCTGCGGACGGAGGGGCCACTACGCGAAGGACTGCTGGGCCCGCATCCCGGGTCCGCCGCAACAGGAGGCCTCATCAACGGCCAAGCCGACCAAGGAACCACCGAACCAGGCAAGTCGGCACGCACCAGACACCCGGCAAGGCTTTACACCTCACCCATCACCTTCGTTGTGCGATCCTAGTGTTGTTGTTAAAGAGAGACCTTCGACGGGGCCTTGTCGCTCTGTGACGCAGTGGCGCAAATTGGCACGGAGGGTTGTCGCGGCCGCTACGGGTTCGTCCACCGTGCCGGGGTCTATACAAGGGGTGGACGTGCGCATTTTGGTCGATTCCGGAGCGTCCGCGACTATAATATCGGATGTCATTTTTCATCTGTTGGGCATCTCACCCGGGGCCGTGCGTCCGGTTTACGGGTCGTGCGTCGCTGCGAACGGGGGTAGTATGGGCATCGTGGGCCAGGTGGACGCTAAAATATCTATCGGGGATGTGTCGGCCTCGGGCGTTGTGTTGATTTCAAGATCCTTGGCAGTTCCTTGTTTATTGGGCACTGATTTCCTGGCTAAGATGCCTATTTTGATCAAAATTAATGAGAATTGTATTGAACTGCCGGGTGGCCGTCAAATTTCGTTTCTGCCGTCGCCCTGGGGGCGACCTGCTTCGGCCGTACAAGTGCAGGCGCTATCCGTGGCATCTGTTGACATCCCACCTGGCTCACAGATGCTTATTCCCTTGCGGTATCGGAAGCCCCTGCCTAGTGAGCTAGGAGCGGTTGGGGTCTTGTTGTCACCTTCAGCCTCGATAACGGCCGGGTTGGCGCTGGTTGGGGCACAGACCATCGTCCGGCCAGATCAATTGCCGTTTTTGCAGGTGCTCAACGCGGGTACTGAAAATGTTCGCGTCCCGGCTGGCACGGTTGTGGCACATGCCACTACGGCATTTACGGCTCACGATTGTTCGCATAGCCAGGAAGTGGTTGCTGGTGTTTCCGAGCCTATGGCTTCGGATGATCACTGGATTGCTAGCTTATGTGACGGAAATTCTTCCCTGTCTGTGGATCAACGGGGTGCGCTTCACAAATTATTACTGACGTATTCGGATGTGTTCAGCTCCAATGATTTGGATTTGGGACGCACCTCGTTGCTTCACCATCATATTGATACAGGCGACGCTGCCCCTATTCGATTGAATTCGCACCGAATGAGTCTCGCCGAGCGAGAACACGTTCGGGGGGCAGTGGAAGACATGTTGGCTGCGGATATTATATCGCCATCAAACAGCCCATGGGGCGCGCCTGTGGTCTTGGTTAAGAAAAAGGATGGCAAATTACGATTCTGTGTTGACTTTCGGAAATTGAATAAGATATCGGTGGCAGATGCGTATCCCCTGCCGCGTATGGACGACTCCCTCGACGCATTGTCGGGGGCTAAGTTCTTCTCTACACTGGACCTCTCTTCGGGATTTTGGCAGCTTCCCCTTGACGAGCCCTCACGGGAGAAGACCGCATTCCGTACGCCGCAGGGGTTATTTCAATTTAACTGCCTTCCGATGGGGCTGAATGCGGCCCCTGCCACATTTCAAAGGCTCATGGAGCTCGTTTTGACGGGGTTGCAGTGGGAGACATGTCTCATATATTTGGACGATATTATTGTCTTCAGCCGAACATTTGATGAACATTTAAGGCGGTTG